GTCAGTACTACGGCAGGGCAGTCAGTACTACATCAGGGCAGTCAGTACTACGGCAGGGCAGTCAGTACTACATCAGGTCAGTCAGTACTGCGGCAGGTCAGTCAGTACTACGGCAGGGAAGTCAGTACTACATCAGGGCAGTCAGTACTACGGCAGGGCAGTCAGTACTACATCAGGGCAGTCAGTACTACGGCAGGGCAGTCAGTACTACATCAGGTCAGTCAGTACTACATCAGGTCAGTCACTACTACAGCAGGTCAGTCAGTACTACATCAGGTCAGTCAGTACTACATCAGGTCAGTCAGTACTACATCAGGTCAGTCAGTACTGCGGCAGGTCAGTCAGTACTACGGCAGGTCAGTCAGTACTACATCAGGGCAGTCAGTACTACGGCAGGGCAGTCAGTACTACATCAGGTCAGTCAGTACTGCGGCAGGTCAGTCAGTACTACATCAGGGCAGTCAGTACTACGGCAGGGCAGTCAGTACTACGGCAGGGCAGTCAGTACTACATCAGGTCAGTCAGTACTGCGGCAGGTCAGTCAGTACTACGGCAGGTCAGTCAGTACTACGTCAGGTCAGTCAGTACTACGTCAGGGCAGTCAGTACTACATCAGGTCAGTCAGTACTACGTCAGGGCAGTCAGTACTACATCAGGTCAGTCAGTACTACGTCAGGTCAGTCAGTACTACATCAGGTCAGTCACTACTACAGCAGGTCAGTCAGTACTACATCAGGTCAGTCAGTACTACATCAGGTCAGTCAGTACTAGTCACGTTGCTAATGTGGTGTTGCCAACATGTGCTTGACTCTTACATTTTTCCTTGGTGTCAGCGAACACCTCCGCAGCAACGTGGTTGAGTCCAAGGTGGTCTCTTCTGTCACTGCTGGAGACAGGAAGTTATATTATGACATCATCATCACACACACACACACACGAGTGTCCGAATGCAGATGTTTTCTTCATTATCACCTTTAGCTCGTTTATGAACGTCTGAAGTCCCGCCTCTCTTTTTCTTCTTGTTTGCAAAGAAGAAAGACCTCCACAGAGCTCTGGCGCCGCCCTGTAGAGGAGGGAGGGGGTATTTCCTCTTTGAATGACCCGCCCCTGCCCCCTCCTTTGATCCATCCTTTGGGGGTAACAGCTTCTTTGAAGGAAGTTCTGGGCTGATGTTCTGGAAATAGCTCCGCCCCTCTTGTTGATGCTCATGTCTTTGAGCCACTGTCTCCATGACAACGTCAGTCCTGAGCGTTGTGGGAGGAGCCAAGTCTCTAAGGTCAGAGTGGGCAGAGTCAGATGAAGTTGTGACGTAGGAAGCCGTAGAAGGTGTAGTGCCCAGAGTCGGAGTCAAAGATGAAGCTTCATGAGGACTGATGCGCGAGGACAAACTGGGGGTGGAGCCAGTCTCCGAGGGCGTTCTGATGTCACTTCCTGCCGATAGGGAGACTGGACGGGGAAACTCCTCCTCTATGAGAGGACAAGGAAGAACATGAGACTCACTTTGGGATGTCAATTTGGTTGCTTATGCGATCACATGACTACATCGTTTCTACCTGAGTCCATCTCTGACAGGAGCCACAGCCCTGAGTGACGCTCCATCTGCCACGGGCTGTACTCACCCTCTACCAGCAGGGGGAGGAGACACACACACACACATCAACACAGTGCACTACAAGGTGTAACAAAGAGGCTACAGGATGTGCTGGGCTTTCTATCAGCAGGGAGGGGGCACGGATGACAAAATGAACAACACATTACATCTACAAATCTACTAAGAACACGTTCCATAGTGTAGCGGTTAGCATGCCTGCCATAGAAGCAGAGAGTCCTGGGTTCGATGCCAGAGGAACCACATACTTTATAATGTTAATCCTCCTCTGTAAGTCACTTTGGATAAAAATGTCTACTAAATGCATAAATGTAAATATAACACACTTTACTCCACAGCCTGTAGGTGGCAGTAATGCCAATATTCACTTGTCAGCCAAAAGAAAATGAGCTAAAAAAAGTTTTTAAATGTTTTTAAACTTGTGATCAACTAACTTAATAAAATATTTTTCCAACTCATTATTATTCTTTTTAAAATTATGATTAAATGCACCACATATACAATTAAACAACTGTATTCTTTCACTTTCATGAATATAAATCGGGTTCAAATAAAATGCAGAATTTAAAATAACTGGCGCATCTTGATTGACAGCTTTGATCACGTGACTGCACAAGTGAGTGCTACTAAAATGTCTCTGGGGTCGCCAGAAATTTGTGTTGTAAAAATAAGGTGACAAGTTGCAGTACTCGCATTTCACCAACAGAGGGAGCCAATAAAACACCAGAAGTAAGAAGAGAAATAAGATATAACTTCACCATCACTGGACTGCAGCTCACTGCCTCCTCCTTCTTGTTCTTGCTCTTCTTCATCTTCATCATCTTCTTCTTCTTCATCTTCTTCATCATCATTCTCTTCTTCTGGTTCCCTCTCATCTCCCTTGTGGAGGTTGCGTTGCAGACTTTCCTTCCATACAGATTTGGCCTCCTCTGACATCATGCCATCTTCATCTCCTCTGTCTCTCTCATCCTCCTTCTCTTCGTTTTCAGACTCTGAACTGTGAACAGGGTTTTAATGAGAAGTGTCAGAATTATCACTGAGGTTTTTCCACTCAAGAATCGGACTAGAGTGGACTAGTGTCTGACCTGGACCTGGATCTGGACCTGGACCGACACCGATCCCTCTGCTCCAAACCTAGGTTGAACTGGTTCAGCACCTCCTCCGAGATCTCCTGTGGCTCCTCCTCCGGTTCCTCCTGCAGCTCCTTCACCTCCTCCCTGGTCGAGCCTCGCCTGAAGTTCTCCAGCTCGATACGCTCCTGCATCGCCGCCATCACAGACACCACTGCACGTACACACAGAGGACCGCGCACACGCAGAAACACACACAGAGACACACACACACTGAAGCCCACAGTGATGCCAGTTTAACCACAACGCTCGGCTGGGGACGGGTGAGAAGACGAAGGGACAGGAGTAAAGGTGAGCAGAGCGAACCTGAGGAGCGACGAGGATCTGCTGAGTCAGCGGAGGCCGAGGGGTGGGCGGAGCAGAGAGACACCTGCAGGGAGATGAAGCAACAACAACACAAGGAACAAGCAGGTTTGATAAAGAGGTGAATATTAACCGGGGGGTGTCAAACATACTGCCCGTGCTCCAAAACTGGTCCACTAGGGGGTTCAATCTGGGTCCCTTGATGATTTTGAAAGTGGAAAAAATGCACAAACACTTTTTGTTTGTGATGTTTTGTCAAATTAGATTTCATTAAACCTGAATATACTTGTACTTGTTTGCAGGAAAACAAGAGGGGAATAAACATGTACTTTATTTAATTATTTAAGGTGGGTCAAACTCAAGGCCCACGGGCCAAATGTGGCCCACTAAGTCATAATCTGTGGCCCGGGGGAGAATGTTTATTGACTTATAATAATAATAATGTTGATGATGTTCATGTTGCTCAGTTTCTTCACTTGATTTGTTTTTATTATCAAAGCAACTTACTATATTTGTAACTTGAATAAATAACAATCAACTGCAGAAACATGTATTGATACAACAGCAGTTACAGCCGACCCTTCAAGGGGAACTGTATTGCTGATGTGGTGAAAATGAGTTTGACACCCGTGAGTTAGAACAACAGTCAGACGATACACTGTACTGTCAGAGCGTGTGCGTAAAGAAAATGTTGGAACAAGTGAGGAAAAACGGCGTGAACGATAACGAAAAATGCATTTTTTAAAATTAAAACTTGATTTTTATATTTGAATTTCATATTTTTTCACATGTACCACACTTGATTTTTATATTTAATTTCATATTTTTTCACATGTACCACAACTACATCTCAGCTTTTTAAAATCACATGACCCCAACACAAACACGTCTAAGCTTAAACATTAAATACATTATTAAGTTAACGTAATAATAATAAAAAAGAAAAGATTTCTCACCGTAGATGTTCGACGTGAGGCAGGCCTATCAGACGACGCCCTCCTCTTCCTCGCCGTGGGGACGCTCAGACGTCGGTCGTAGTGATGAACACAGTAAAAGGTTCCTGAGATGGAGACATGGGACAGACATGAGACATCAATGTCCAGGGTGGGAACACAAGAGGACTTTATATCAACTTTAAATTAAACCGCCTCACACTGATCATGTGGGATCTGTGCTCTGATTGGCTGAAGAAAATATCCATCCTGAAGCTGGACTTGTGAGGGGAGGGGTGGAGGAGGGTATTGATCAGGTATTCATGTTTATTCCCCTCTTCCATATAACAGCATTGATTATTGATTATTGACTGTAACAAGCAATATACCTGTCAACCTGTCTGATGATTGGCGTAACACAGCGATGCTGTGACATCACAGGTGGGTGTGACTGAACCTGATGACCGCGCAGGACGAGGAGGTGGCGGATGAAAAACACTGACACTAAAATAAGAGCCTGAGCGTGCCAGGACCACGAGTGCTGCGTGTCTTAGCTTACATTCTAACAAAGAGCTGAATGTTGAAGTATGACCGAGGACCTCGGGCTGCGTCGCACACACGTGCACGCCGACATCAGTTGATGCATCCAACATAAAGAAGCAACTGTGCCCACATTAAAGGGCCAGACAAACAAGTCTCTTTTGAGAAAGTAGCACAACAAAACAAATCGTACAGATATAGACAATCAATTGTCACAGAGCAGGAGGACAGTCTGTTCACCCAGATCACATGTCCAGCTTTAAGGTCTGTGCATTAAACCAGAGGTAAAAAAAAAAACAAATCAGGAAAATTAATCTCTTCAGTCATTTTAAATGACGGGTGATTTTTTCAGTAATGCTACGTAGAACCATTGATGTGGAGCACAATACATCAGGAGCACCAGTTAAGACAAGAATGTCGGTGCGGCGTTGCTAAACTGTTGGTTCACATTTCACAACGAGGCCAGCGAATGTAATAATGGAGGTGTACAGTACAACTAAACAGTTGTTCTGCCAAAGGTATAAAAAAAGGCTGTTATCAATGAACATGTTCTCCACCACAGATGTATTATTACTAGATTATCCTGCAGGATCTTGAATAATAGATCTATATTTTATAAACCAAAAAACTACAAGAAAGAAAACATAAATGGTTTTTAGTTCAAGTTCTTAAATTCAAAGAAATAATCTAAATGTAAATGTGTTAGACATGCCACGAGGTGCTCTAAAACATTGTTTCCCAAAGACTGGGTCGCGACCCTCAGGTGGGTCCCCAGAAAAAAAGAAACACTGCTCTAAAACTAGTACGCAAAAAGCACCCTGCCCTCTGGTGGTGATTGTGGAGAACTGACCGTGCTGCTGGTCGAAGGTGTACCCTGTCAGTTTGAGTGTGTCGCCACAGAAGTTGCACTGGAAACAGCTGCGGTGAAAGAAGAGCCCTTCAGCACTGAGACGCTCCATCACGTAAACTCTGTCCTTACAGAAGACGCAGACACTGCTGCTTCCTGCAGGACACTGTGGACACAGAGACAAGAAGACAACAGTCTGACAGTCCAAATCCTGGTAGTGGTGAAAAGGCGGCGTTCTCAGACCATCCTTCATAAGAACGACAGTCATTGCTGCGTTTCCCACAAAGCACTGCAGCATACCTGTTCACCCCTGCTCTGAGACCTGAGCTTCTCTTTGAACCGACAACTCATCTGCTCCTGTTGAAGTGTTCGCTTTCTCTGAAAAGAAAAAGACACAGAGCGCCCCCTACAGTAAGTACTGGAGATGAGGGATTGGATGAATGAGGTATCAAGAAGTATTTACTGGTCTCCAAGGAGGAGGCTTGGCAGCAGCAGGTGATACGTCCACAGACCCAGAAGTACCAGTTCCAGGGCAGGTGATACGTCCACCTCCACAGACCCAGAAGTACCAGTTCCAGACAACTCCTCCCTCTGCTGGTCAGGATCAGAAATGATCAACTTCTAAGTCAGTCGAATCAGATTCAGCAAAAATAAACCATATATACCGTTCAAACATACCTGATGACTGACGACCACTGAAGACGATGAGCTGTCCTTCAGCTTCGCCTGCAGCTGACTGGCTAGAAGACGAACACTGGCCCCGCCCACCAGGGCTTCATCACCTGTCTGGAGGTTAACATGTTAAATTCTGCTTCTCATACGTGACAGAACAGAAAAGATGAGTTCGTTGTTTCATATTTAGTCCATTTAAAACAAATCCTGATGCACAGTCTCGATGCACAAACTCGCGACCAGTGACCCTAGGCTGTAAACCTTAAAATGATTTTGTTTTTTTAACTCTCACCTCCTGCTGGTCTCCTGCTGCTACGCTGATCTTCCTCCTCTTCTCCACAGCATCTCTGAGCTCCTGTAGAGAGAAGGATGAGTCATGACATCGTGGACATAAACAAACAAATAAACAACCAAACCAACAAACCTTTGGATTCCTTTTCCTGGAAAAACTGTGTCCCAGTCTGTTGAGGAGACCAGCCGGGGTAATTACAGCTGACCTGAAGTCACCTGACCTGAGATCAGAGCTGTGACTCGTGGCACCTGAGAGAAAGAAAAAGATCGCAAATAAAGACACAAATCTTATACGAGAACTTTAAGGAAGTTTGATTAAAATAGAACTCTGCAGAGGATAGTGTGATCCTCTGACGTCACACAGGTAACTACGTCTAAAGGAGTTTTAGCACAGGCATAGGCAAACTATGGCCCGAGGGCCGAATACAGCCCATTTGGCTTTTTAATCTGGCCCACCAAACTTGTCCAAAGAATGTTATTTAATATTATTATTATTATACTTCTAATCCTTTTCCCTGCAATGACTACATTTCCCCGATAGATGGCGTAGGTAAGGCTAAAAGCATTTTAGCTTTTCGGCATGACTTTTACGTGTCATTTATCTTAGTTTACATAAACGCTCCATATATCTACTCCTGACCCGGCCCCCTGTCAAATTTTAGGACCCATTGTGGCCCACGATGTTCTAGCATCTCACCAGCAAGGGGCGTTGCATCCTTGAGCAGCTGGTAGAACTGACTCAGGTACATGACCATAGACAGAGAGTCCGGTTGTCGAACCCGCAGCATCTCGTCCACCGTCATCAGAGGAGGGATCCCCAACTCTCGATTGGCAACTTCGAAGGCAAATGAAATGTTTTCTCCGGCCGACGACTCCGTTAGAGAATTGAAATCTCTTTGAAAAACAAAAACTGATTGTTTAAACAGTCGAAACAAAAACCTTGAACGTTGAGCAGAGGAGGAAAACGAACAAGCGGTTTACATCAGGTCCGGTCTGAAGCGGTGGATCAAGGCACACAGAGCCAGTCCGTCCTTCCACGAACTGGTCAAGTTGTTCACGGCAACGCCACGATATCCTCGAGTCTGGTCCTGACACCACTCCAGCAGCTCGTTGGTTCGCGTTGTCGGTCCTGTACGTCAAATCACAGACAGAGAAACCCAATGAAGCTAGGCTAATTAGCAGGGTCGAATTCAGGAGAAGCTGTGAGAAGATAGACGTCGGTTGGTCCAACCTTCTCTGAGTCCAGGTGAAGACAGCCAGTGTGTGTTTGACCTTTCCTCGCTCCCAGTGTCCACTAGGTGTCTCACCTATAAACAAAGGCAACTATTAGTAACTCTGCTTGATCGTGCGGCTGATGATGCAACGTGACCTGAGTGTACCTGCGCTGGTGTAATGGACAGTGGGTGGACGTTCACGTATCGAGTGGTTGGATCCAGTGAAAACGAAGTGATGTTCTTTTGCATGTTCTCTGGAGTTGTTTGGTGGAGGAGACGGTACAGACTCTCTCTGAAAAGACACAGATATACATTGTCTCCCGGGACATGTATGAGATAGGTGTGTCCCCACATCCAAGTTCTTGGACGCACCTCTCAGCCAAGACATCCAGGGGATCTCTGCCCTGAGACCAACTCCTTATCATCCAGGACGAATCCAGAGCGGCCAGAAAACCACGAGCTACGCCGGTGCCCATCGGCCAGAAAGGCTGAAGTCAAACAGAAAAGACAACAAACAACAAACATTTCACATTTGGACTCATCAGCTCGGAGGAAACGCGTCCTTGTTTTAAGGACTTCTTCCAGTTGTTCCTGTCTCACCTCCAGCAGACTGTCTCCCACCAGCATGACCAGCAGCTGGCGACCGTGGCGTTGGCGGACCATGGCGGCATTCTCTGAAGCGTACATAGACGAGAAGTCAAACATGGCAACGTCGGGCTGACCGTAGTGGTTGATGGCAAAGTCCAGAGATGGCAGCTGGTGATTGGTGGAAAAGTCAGCAGCCTCACGGGCGTACGCCTGCAGCGCATCCAGGTTCACGTTGTTTCCGGAGAGAAGTTGCTGTGTATCTGCAAAGTCCTGGAGAAATCGAGTTCCATTAACGACCTGAAGGTGTCCCACAGCTAACGACCGTGTTGACTTTATGCGTCGACATGAACGGTACCTCCAAAATGACACCTTTGTCCAACAGACTCTGTTTCTTGGCAGTCATGACAAAGTAGTGCGTATCGTCTTTGTAGTAGACGATGTTCTCCAGGTCGATGCCTTGAAAAGATGTTATGTTAGGTTAGGATAAAAAAAAAAAACCCCATAATAATTAAAAAAATTAAAAAGGTTAAAAGAAGTGTAACTGTTCAAACCTGTCTCCTGTCGCAGCTCCTGGAAGAACCTCTGGTTGAAGATGAAGGCCACACCAGAGATCTCCTCCACCTTGGCTTCAGCCGTGGAGTTTCTATTCTTAAAGTTGGCCGTGATGGCGATGGCGAGTTTCCCGCGGAACTCTTTACGCCTGAAACCTGTTCAGAAAAGTCAAATCGTTGTCGGTCCAATCAGACAACAGAATGTGGGCAGGATCTTTAAATGTAAGAACTTTTCCGTACCGGGCAGGGTGTTCCTGCGTCCATCTGCACCGATGATGACGTCAAATTCTAGCTGATTGACAGGGTGAGATGTTGGACTCACCTTCATCCTCCAGCCCACACCTGGACAGATAACCACAGGGAGGAACGGGTAAAGAGTAGGGAAGTCCGATGTTAACTTTTGCCGATATTGTCCAAACACTTGATTTGGCCTGGTAACATTTATTTACATTTATCTATACACACTACTGTATGAGTATGAGATTTATTAAATGAGCTGCAATGCTGACTCTCTAAGATGATAGGTTAAAGAAGTGTTTCTTAGTTATTTTGGTTTTATCGGGTTGTAATTATCGGGAAAAAAAACTTAACAATTCTTACAGATTTTACATAATTATGCTAATATTGGGCTGATAATATTGGTCAGCCGATATTATCTGAAATCCCTAGTCAGAATTATCCAGGTTGACCAATCAACTGCGTCCTCACGTTGTTTGTTCTGGCTCTGCGGTGGCTCCAGCAGACTTTGGAACTCCACGTTGACATGAACCTCCACACCGAGCAGTAAGG